TGGAACCAAGGCCGAAGTGACCAATGCACCCAAATCCAAGTCCCCAAAACCCCAGCAGGGCAGCTCTGGGGCCTCCAACCAGGCAACCATCCTGGCCTGTTGCAGTAAAGAGAATCGATCATTTAATGCGGCAGCTGCCTGATCCCCGAGATCATCAGATAAGGAATGAGTAACTTGGAGTACAAGTGGGGAGCAAGTTCTGCAAGACTCCAGATCGTAGGTGTCCCCGACCCAATAGGCAGCATGATGGAGGCAGTATGGATGATCTCCTTCCTGAGGCAAAGGCAACAAACAACCCTCAAATTCCCACAAGGCAAGAGTGGGCTTGGAAGCAGTGTCCATGGTACAACCAAGCCCACACAGGTTTTCCAGGGCCCATAGAGTGAATAAGCCCTACGGGAAACCCAGGTATTGGGGACAGCTAAGCTTGTAAACCCTGTCATAAGCAGCCAAACCAACTGCAAGGAGCAGCAGTGAAACCTCAAGAGCAACAGTGGCGGACTACCACCACGCCCTAGGCCAAGCCTAATGGGGTTGCTAAGCAGACCTCTACTGCCACAACAGGCAAAAACATTTGAATGAAACTGGTTCAATGTGTATGTATCAGCTGGTTTTTTCCCAGCTTGCTAGGTTTGGATTCCTGGTGAACTGGTGGAGGTCCCAGTTGGTTCCGTCCCAGGACCAGTTCTGGTTGGGCATTTGGGCTTGGTTTGGGATTCCTTATTGGTTTCTGGGTGGGGGGGGGGGAGCTCCTTCTGCTTCCGCTTCCTGGAGCTATCCAGCCTGATATGTATATTATTAGACTTTGGCATCAGTCAGTGTGAATGGAGTTCTAGGTCTACCCAGAACCACGAGCCAGAATCTGGCCCCCTTAGAGAGGCACGAGGAGCAATGGCCTATAGAAATGTACATGTGTGTGGGAACATTCTATGTTTGCCATCAACTGGGCCGGGCACCCAGAAAGGTAGGCGCCCCAAAACAAACCCTTAATCTGGTTAAAACTACTACTGAAAACTAACAAGTAAACAGAACTCCCCCCAATTGAAAAATGAGCAAACGAGCATGACATCACATTTACCACATCGCTTGTCTGCTCAGTTCTCCCCTCCCCGGAAGGGGAAAGGGGGAGCCCTAGATCATCACATTGCGCCGGCTATCCACCTGTCAGTTCTTGGCTGATGTGGTCCGGCTCGGTCGTGTGACTCCAGCTCCAATTTCTCTGTGTTTTGCGGTGCCTTGTGTCCAGTACTGCTCTTACAGTGGCGTGTGAGTTGGGAGTAATTTTCACAGATATTCGGGCTGCATGTTCTTAGGGTTCGGGTCACCTGTGGATCGACAATCTGGCTCCATTCAGACTGCTTCCTGGTGGTTCATTGCCTAAACCGAGGGGATTCGATGCGGTCCTTGGTTCTTTGGGGCTGGTCGCTTCGAGTGACACATCTGCTGAGTTCTCGGGGTTTGGCTCTCCTAGCTGTTCACGTCTGAGGGGTGTCCAGTGTCCTGGCAGTTGGCCTGACCTGGTTCATTCCCCTGTCCACGGAATGGATGGTCGATGCCAACTCATTCAGTTGACTCTGCCAGACATTTGGACGCCCAGTGATGGATCTCTTCACGTCGGCATGGTCGAAGCGTCTTCTGATATATGTGGCAGCCTTCCCCGACTGTGAGGCTGTCAGAATCAATGCCTTCCAGCAGGACTGGTTGAGGTGGGGTTCCTGTTTCCCTGGTTCAGCTATTGCTCCAGGTCCTAGCTCGCTTGGAGATTTACCAGGGAAGAGTTGTCCTCTTGGCCCCATGGTGGCTGGCCCAGCCTTGGTTTCAGGCGATGCTTGCTCGGTGTCCAAACCCAGAGGTTTTGCTGCAGCTACACCTCTTTCAGCAGATCGGTCCGGTTTATTGCGAGACTGGTTCGATCTTCTCCTCGAGTCTTCGCGTCTGGTCTTTTTGACTCGTGTCTATCACCATCTGTATGGTGATCAGGTGGCTTCTTTGATGGTGTTCCTCTTGCAGACTTTGTCTTGGTGTCAGTATTATGTTTACTGGCGGTGCTTCCGATTCTTTTTGCCTCTTCGTCGTTATACAGTGGGGCCTCGACTTACGATGGTAATCCGTTCCCAGAGACGGATCGTAAGTTGAAATATCGTAAGTTGAAGCGATTTTTCCCATAAGAAATAAGGGAAATTGAATTAATCTGTTCCCTACCCTCCAAAATATTAACTTACAAATATGCAGGCGATGAGACACAATAACGTGGCTAAAGTATGTTGACCAGACCACACACTAGAAGGTGAAGGGACGACGACGTTTCGGTCCATCCTGGACCATTCTCACAATCAACTTGAAAATGGTCCAGGACGGACCGAAACGTCGTCATCCCTTCACCTTCTAGTGTGTGGTCTGGTCAACAATTTACAAATACATTTTATACCGAATACAACTTTGTTCTCTAACTTCAATACAGTACATATGTTCATCTTACCTTTATGGAGGACTCTTGATGGCGTATAGAAGATGGTCATGAGGGGGGGAGGAGGAGAGGTGTTACTGTTTGGAAGGGGAATCCTCTTCCATTATAACATCAGGCAGTGATGACTTTTCTGGGATACACTCTCTGGCATGTTTTGCCTGCATACCACTAGGACCTGCTTGCGGCTCACTGCTTGCTTGTTTACTACGAATCTGTCTTAAAAATACTTGTTTTTCCTTACATTTTAACACTTGTCTGTAGTAAGACATCACATTGTCATTTAAAAGGTCAATGCAACGGCCTGCTACAGCTGTATCTGGGTGAGTTTTTTCAACAAAACTTTGCAGTTTTCCCATACTTCACACATTTTCTTAATGAGGAAGAGATATCCTCTACTACCTCAACTCACAACTATTTTCTTAGGTTGAACCTTACCACTGACTTTCTGTAACCCATGGCGTGATATATAATAATCAGCTTTATGTTCAAAAAGCAAAAAATCACCACAAAAACGGAATTTCTTATAGGCGTGATCGTCACTAAGCGGGCAGCTCGAGTAAACTGAGGCAGGTTGGCCCACGTGACTGGGAACCACGCGCTCAGTCGACCCAAACGCGTACCAACAAATATCATTAGTCGACGACACTATCATAAGTCGAGTCACATTTTTCAATCAAATTTACATCGTAACTCGAAATTATAGTAAGTCGGGGCAATCGTAAGTTGAGGTGCCACTGTACTTCGTTATCTGTTAAGGTTGTTTTGTCCTTTCTCTCGTGGTTGTTTCAGGACCTCATCTTATGCCGAATACTGTCATTTCGTATCGTGCGGCGTTGGTGGAGCTGCTGCAGCTTGCGTTCAATATTGATGTTACTTCTGCTCCGTTTTGGAAGCTGTCTCGTGCGTTGTTTCACCTCTGGCCTGCTCATGTTCCGCTTGAGCTGTCCTGGTCCTTGGATCGTGTTCTCTCTTATCTCTCTCCTCCTTGGTTTGTGGTGACCCCTTCGGTTCAAAATTGCATTTCCAAAGCTCTTCGTGTTGGCATTGGCCTCCGGGGGTTGGGTCAGAGAGCTTCTTGCTTTCCTCTAGTGCAGGGGTTTCTGCTCTTTTCATCAGGGTGATAAATTTGTTTGGTTTCAGCCGTCTTCTTATTTTCTGGCAAAGAATGAGACCACTGCATTCTGGAGGGGTCCTTGGGTAGTTGATGGTTGGTCTGGCCGGGGGTGCATCATGTGTTGTGTTTGGTTGCGGCTCTCCACCGTTCTTTGTGCGCCATGGCCTCTGTGACCGGGGACATGCTTTGGGTTGATCCGGTTTCCCTTCCTCCCTGTTCTAGGGTTGGGGTCTCTCAGATCGTCCACAGGCTATTCAGTCCAGCCAGCCTGTGGTCTATCCCGTGCCCCATGACGTTCGTAAGTTTGCAGCACTTGCTGCTGTCTTCAGTATCATGTCTTGGGCTGACATTCAGGCATGGGGTTTTTGGTGGTCAAACAGGGTCCTGGCTGCACACTACCTCATGAATGTTCCTGGGCCTGGTCGGGCCTCTGTTGCTTTGGGTTTGGCGGTTGTAGCTTGTTGTCTCGACTTCGTGATGAGGAGCGAGTGCCAACCACCGGGTAAGTCCCTCTTGTTTTTGTCTTTTGTGATATAGCTCCGGGGAGACGAAGGGGCTTCCCTCAGAAAGCCAGCGTTGAATGTAATGAAACGCCATTTTCTGGGTGAGACCCAGAAGGTTTCCCCTGCAACCCTCCCTCCCCCTGGTCGGCGGTTTTTTCACGTGTTTTGACATCCAGCCTCGAACTAACAGGTGGATAGCCAGCGCGATGGGTCTGGAATTTAGGCTGTAATAACCAATTGTACAAACTGAGACGAGGTGGCCTTCAGCATGGGGGGATTCTATCATCTTGCCTCGGCATACATTTACATTTTTATTTACCTTTATTTATTCATATTTTTAGCAATTCAAATACATACTCATGTATCTTCCTGAAACTCGTCAAATTATTACTAATACAGTATTAGTAAACATCTTCAGTGAAATACAGTAAATTTCCTTTTTAAAAACATCTCTAGGTAGGGTTATACACATGTATTCTAGGTTGAAGGGGGAAGGGAACTATCAGAAAAGAGTGCTAAGCCATTATGACTATATAGCACTTGGAAGAGATCAGGATAAGGATTTGGGGTGGGACGGGGGAAAGAAATGGTGCCCATCCACTTAAATGGTCAGGAATTGAATGCCGACCTGCATGAAGGAAGACCATCACTCTACTGTAAAGCCCAAGTGGTTGGGCTGAATGTATCCTAGGTTGAATTTTAGACAGCTCTATATTGTAGGTCAAGTTAAGACAGACACTTGCTATATGTGCACTTTTGGAGCAGGTGACTAAAACACAAAGGCAAATTAAATTGGCTTTTTAGTATATTGGATGAATTTAAATATGAAGTATACATGACAAGTTATATCATTACTGTAATAGGTATTGCCTGTTGTAACATTAAAGCATCCTTATCATAGTATTCTTTGTTGCAGGTGAATACATGGGTGACTAATCAAGTAAAAGAAGCACCAAAAGGGATGCAGGGAGGCTGGTTCACCTCATACCTAAGTTTCTTTGATGTACAGCAGTCATTATCAGTAGGAACAGGAATAGCAGTTGCTGTTGCTGTGGGTATCAGCCTAGCTGTGCTAGTGATGACAACCCTTAATGTAGTTGTGAGTCTGCTGGCAGTCTTAAGTGTAAGTGCTGTTATTTTAGTGACATTAGCTGCATTAGTTTTATTAGGCTGGCATCTTAATGTTTTGGAGAGTGTAACAGTGACTGTGGCTATAGGATTAGCAGTAGATTTAACATTGCATTATGGTGTTGCCTATCGGTTATCCCCGGAGGCTGATCGAGAAGCTGCTGTGTCTTGGGCAGTGGCCCGCTTGGGCAGCCCAGTATTTATGGCTGCTGCAACCTCCCTGGCAGCTGGTATTTCTATGCTACCTGCCAAAGTTTTAGCTTATGTTCACATTGGTACTTTTCTTACAGTAATCACTACAGCTTCATACATCTACGCAACTCTCTTTTATCTTCCACTGTTGCGTATATTTGGCCCTGAATCAGGGTGTGGACAACTCTCTTATCCACAATTAAGGTGCTGCTCTTGTTGCAGTCAAGGCCCTCAGCCTCATGTGGACAAAACTGTGTATCAGCAGGCATTTATGAGTGAATCGACTTTATCCACATCTAGTACATCGTGTCCAGCGCCCCAAACTCATCCATCATCTGACACACATGAACTTGAGCCCTTAACTGCAATGCGTTTAGCTGGACGATGTGGAACTCACACTCGTGCCATCCACAACCCTACTAGACATAAAGTTGGTTTAGTTGAACCCCCACCCATATCAGAGGTACCCCATAACCACGTAGCAGCTCACAATGATGTGGGAATTGTCTCAGGGACAGGTCGTGCTGCTAGATCAGGATCTTTGTCATCCTCTGTGTGTGCGCAGGACCATGTAAACTTTGTCCCACGAAAAGTATCTTTGCCTTCACCTGGGGGTGCTGTGAGTGAGGGGGGCGAACCCTCTCCAAGACATAGTGTAGCCCCAGCATCTTCAGCTACAACAATTCTTTATTCAGAACCAGACACAGACTTTGGGCAACAATTCCAGCATCCTCCAGAAGGAAACATCATTCCAACAGTTCTCGCTCTTGAAAATGGAACATTAGTCGCCTAAGACACTGTGGAACAAATGCGCGGCTGTGAGTGACAATGTGTAGTACCTTCTTGTGTGATGGTGCTAAATTGAAGCTACCACAGAGTATCTGTTATTGTGATAATATATTGCTCATTTCATTTGATATATTAGATACTTTATTCAGTTATTTGTAAAGATAACATTATAGGTAGCAGTTGAGTGTTGTTGCCTGCACTATGTTTTAATGAAAACCATTTATTTATTACATAGTGATCAAGAAATGTGAATAACTAATCTTTTGTGTAATAAATATTTTATATTGTGTTTGAAGAATGATGTTGGAATAGCGTGTAAGTTATTGAGACTCGGTACCCTTCCATATGTGAGTGGGTAAAATTTTAATTGATTGCAGTGAAATAAAAATATAACAAGCAGTTTACATGATAGTTATTTAGTAATTTTTTACCAAAAGTAATGTTACTGTATTGACATACCATAAATGGAAAACAAAAATAAAAAAATACTAAAGCCCCAGTGTTAAGAGAATCAAAGATGCACTTGCCAGGGTCCAAGGGGCATTTTGCATAATTTAAGGTTTAAGTCGAGCAGAAATGTACACTCTAAAATTGGTATACAGTGGAACCTCCAAATCATTCTAGACCTGTGTATCCAGATAAAATAATCCAAAAATTACACGTAATTACACTTAACCACCGTGCTGCGCCGAGTTTATTGTGAAATTACCCCTGTACGCATGAAATAGTGTTCCCAAAAAATTCTTTTTCTTCATAAAATGATAAATTCCCTTCCCTGAACAAATCTATGTAAAAATAAATACCAAATTCCACTTACTTTAACTGTGAGGACGTGGACAAGGTGCGCTATGACGTCATCAGGGGCTGGTCGCCCGTGCTTGACATGCTCAGACACGGTCACACGGGCCATTCAAGCACCGGATGTTGCCACAAATATATATTCAATTATTTGTTCTATGTATTTCCAATGCGGTTTTATTTGTTTTTTCATCGTATATGATGCATATTTGTGTCCTTTACAATATGTATACAGTAGAACATTCATAATGTTCCATGGAACTATGATACATGTGTCAGTAATGTGTCCACAATAATGTTTATTGTCACAATATTACTTGTGAAAAATTCACTAAAATTACAATATGTACAGTTTCACATACTATTTACACAGTAACACACTGTATTACACACTCAGTACTTCGGAAGTGAGTAATAATCAACGAAGTAGTCCATGGTGCACAGCGCGACTTCGCTCTCGGTACACAAGGTACAGATAGATTTTCGCTTCCTGTTTCTTTGTTCTTTGCACTTGCAAATAACACACTCAAGTACACCCTTGACTTTAGTACTTGTAGGTTGTATGTAACCAAGCTTGTAAAGCATAAGGTAGTATTGAAAAGATTATAGAAAAAGATCAATTTGTAAAGTAGTCTTGAAAAGATCGCTTTGTAAGGTCTCACACAGGAAGAGATTCAGCTAGCCTCAAAGAGTGTTTGTCAGTCAGGAAGAGATTCAGGTATTCTTGAAAATATCTATGGAAAACACCACCATGGAAGCCACTAACACTGTTCATCTATGCTACTTGTATCAGATGCGTCATCACTGAACACAGAAAACGATTCATCTATGTATCATCTAAATAAATTGGAGATAGCATGGGTGGGCAAGGGTAGTGCTCAGAGCTGCAACTGGATACGCTCGCTGTATCATCCTCATAGGTGCTGTATCACTTGCATCCAACCTTTGTGTTAGGTCCTTATTGCGCCTAGCTTCACCAATATTATGACCCTTATGTTCTTCAAACAATAAGGTTTGAATTTCACCGACAGAGTGCGATCTTTCAACACCGCGTTGAACAGGTGTTTGGGAACCAGAGGGGCGTGCGCCACCCATGGTTGCTCACTTGGCACTAACCCTAGGGTTTAGCAGCTTAGCAGCCCTAGGGTATTTTGGAAATTTTTTCCAAGATGGCTGTCTCTCACTGTAGGTCCTAAGAGTCCATTTCGTACACAACCAACCTCGCACACATTTAGAATGGGTACGGAAAAAAAAATAAAAGTTTTCTCGGTTGGCGCAGTTTCCTGCCTATCGAGAATACTCGGTTGGCGCAGTTAAGTGGTTAAATAAAGTAATCCACCATGAAGGCAAAAACTTCATAGTGCAATTGTCAAGGACATATTTTTGTTGCTTTTATAAATGTTCAGGTAAAGTTAATGTCAAAATGTTTCCAAACTCAACCATTTTCAGTTCAAAACACAGTGTAATGAAAACATTAATATATAGCCTCATTAAAAAAAAAAAGCACAACTCTCAGAGTGCCTAAGGACACTGCACAGTACAGTGGTTAAACTTACTGTACTTAAACTGGGATACAGTGTGCAGTGGAAGTATCAGAGGAGCAAGAATATTGTAAGAAAATAAATTTGACCTGGAAATAATTTTATAGTATTTGAAGATCTGTAAATTCAGATTTTTTCTCTACAATCATATTCTGATAGGTGGAGTTGATCCTTAATTTAGAGAAAACTGTTATGTGAAGGTTTGTATTTTGGAGGTTTCAGTGTACTTTGAAGAAGTGAAATGTTAATTTCCTTTATTATACTGCTCAGTTGCTTTCTTTCATAAAGTGTTAGAAAAATATGATAAACTCCTGTTTTTTTTTACATTTATAATTGTGTAGGAAGACATATTGAAACTCATTAAAAAAGTTTAGAGAGAGATACTAGTGTCCAACAAGAATATTTAGAACTTCCTCATACTTGTCCATATTGTAGAAAAAAATTAACATGCTGTATTTTTCATAAGAATCGATTCTGTCTTTTGATGTGTTGTATCATGTCCTGGAAAATTTTATTTCAAGTCGAATTTACTCTGGGTATGACTGGAAATGCACTGAAGGTATGTTTTAGCTGGTTAAAAAAAAAAATTAGGGATATTCCTATGCAAACCCTAAGCCAACAACAGTTTATTCATAAATGTGGATAGTTGCTGACAAAGAATAGTTCAGAGTTGCCTTGTTTGCAAACCATTTTCAACCCAAAGGGCCCAGATCAATCCATGCAATAGTTTCCTCCTGTTCATGAATGTGGTTCATTTGACACACGAATCATAACTAAGGATCAAGTACAATATAAAAAATTTAGTTGTCTTCACTCTGTTTTCAAAGTGCACTTCTCAAAATGATTCATCCTTCTGGAATCAATTGGAAAAAAATTTAAGGCTAATTATATGATGAATCTTTCACACTAAAATATTATTCATTACAACCCTGCAAATACACAACATAACTGTCCCTATTTTCTGCTTATTACAACTTGTAATAAAGTTATTACATCTTGTTATAACGTTTCTACGATGTATTAGAACATTGTTACAACTTGCTATATTGGTTGTTACAACTTATTAGGAGGTGTTAAAACTTGTTCAAACGATGTAGCAACATCGTCGTTTCGTAGTGTGTTTGACGGGAAGAATGATGTAATATAGATTTGGTAATTACTGTTTCAGCATCTGAAAGTGGTAACTAGTGCAAATTGTGTATAGCAATGGTTTTAATTTTGCATTTAAGAAGAGTGATGTAAAAGATGTAATAGTTAAAAATGAGCATGTTTTTGTTACTGGCAGGGTATAGAAACTTCATGGTGAAATAGTATTTGTATGTTTAACATTTTTAAATTTATACCAAAAAGCCTAATTAAGCATAGGTATATTTCACAATATGAAACGAGCACTTTATGTACTTCATTTACCCGAGGGTGTATTACATGACCTCTGTGGTATATGCTTTAAGAACAAAGTAAAAGTGAACAGACTGAAATGGAATAATTTATCATATTATTTGTAAGCTGCAAGAACTTTTTTGTGATACATTTAGGATTTTTTTATTATTATATTTTAATATTTATATTTTGAGCAGTGTAACCTTGAATTTACATGCTTAGTCTGAAAAATGTTCAGAATTAGTGTTATGCACACTTTTTATGTAACAAAAGCTGTAATGACCATTAGTCTTACAGTGGCTGTTAAGGGCCAAATGATTCAAACTTCTTGACTGCTGTAAATTCATAAATGTATTACAAAATCAATTATCATTAAATTCAGAGACTGACTATTAAGATTTTTGTTCAAGGTCATAATATATTTGTTATTAATAACAAGGGCCAGTAAGTATATCAGTTGTATTTTTAATTTTGTTTAGAGGTTATCAGTCACAAGTTGACATAATCATGTGCCTATTGCTTGTAAAATTTTGATAGTTAATGTGTAATCAGTATTTGAATTATATCATAAAAGTGCTGAAATATTAATTTAAAGTCTCCTAATTTGTATCAGTTTAAGAGTTATTTAAGCAACCTTTATGTAACAGCCACATGGAAATAAAATGTAATATATTTTCCTAAAGTAAGGTTGTTATTCCCTCATACCAGTGTTATATCGATTGGACTTGCCAAAGAACACAATAAAGCAGCCGGCACAACTGCAAAAAAAATGATAGGTTGGATAACAAGAACCGTTCACACTAGAGATGCTATACCGAAGATGATACTTTTCAAGACGCTGTGCTCTCTAGCGTGGAATACTGCTGCACAATGACAGCCCCTTTCAAAGCTGGAGAAATTGCTGATCTGGAGAGCATGCAGAGATCCTTTATGGCTAGAATCCACCCAGTAAAACATCTTGACTATTGGGACCGACTAAAATGCCTAAATCTGTATTCTCTTTAGCGCAGGCGGGAGAGATACATAATAATTTACACATGGAAAATAGTAAGAGGGGCTGGTCCCCAAACCTGCACACAGAAATAACACCAAACGAGACCAGAAGTCATGGCAGGATGTGCAGAATACCCCAGTTGAAGAGCAGAGGTACAATAGGTACTCTGAGAGAGAACTCTATCAACATCAGAGGTCCGAGACTGTTCAACATGTTACACATAATGGGCATAACTGGCTGACCCCCCTCAGTGTTCAAGGGAACTCGGTAAACACCTCCAAAGGATACCTGACCAACCAGGCTGTGATTCATACATCAGGCCACGAGCAGCTGCATCCAACACCCTGGTTATCCAGTCGAGCAACAAGAAGGCCTGGTCGATGACCAGCCCGCGGGGACACAAAGCCCCGAAAACACCTCAAGGTAAGGGGTATATGCACATGAGATCCAAAAGCCTGCCCCCCGCCGCCCCACAGCAAAGCCGAAAGTCAGCCAAGCATTACCCATGAGCGAGCACCAAGTGGCATACCTGCAACCTAATATATGTATTTTCAATTTGATAACATCAATTTTCATGTTACGTCATTCATTTTGGTATCAAATTTTTCACAATCTAAATAAAGACGCACATTTTAAAACTAGTTCCACAATAATCGAATAATAAATGAAATTTTAACAAATATTTTAATTTTGGACGCTCATCCCCACACAAGTATTTATAATCTTTCCAGTGTTCTGACCTCAATTGTCGGGATACATCATTCATTATGGTATCAAATTGTTCGCAATTTGCATGCATTTTAAAACTAGTCAAATAATAATCAAAGAATAAATTGAATTTTAACAAATATTTTAATTTTGGATCAAAATGCGTCCCCGGTGGACATCTGTAAGATTATTAATGGACCCAAACTGCGTCGCCACTGGGCGAAAGTGTCGAGCATAAGAAGTAAGTAAACCTAATGACTGTGTCTAATCACCAAAATGAATGCAAAGAAACAAATATCATTTGTGAGGTGATATTTCCATCTTCCGTAATCTGTCATGATAAATTTCTTGACTAGCTAATTTGTTTTTAAATTTCTGGTATGCTAACTCATGAAACAATGGAGATTTAGATGATAGCTTTTTAAAGATTTAAAACACATCAGTAGAGTGCACACTTGAAAACCCCGACCTCTAAACAATGGATCCCTCCAAACAACAGATTAAATCTGCCCATCAAATTAACCCTCCATCATTTGGATTAAAAAAAAAAAAAAAATTACCAATTCCAGAAAGGGAATAATATAAATTTGGATCATTAGTTCGTG